TCGTTTCTCCAAACGCGTCCCCGGTCCACAAAACTGGTAACCGGGAATGTGCAGTTCGAAAGGAAGCGCGTTTATCGCTTTATTTAACAAACCTCTGCCTCTCGACGGCATTCGCTACAATTCTTTATCAACGGCGCTGGACCGTCGATATGCGTTTGATGACTCGGCAAATTGTAATGCTTCAGACACCGACGGTGTCGTTGTACCTCCGAATCGGCTCGTATATGCTCAGGTAGTCTATCCCACAGAAGATCTATACAATTCTCAAACTCTCGCAGTAAAACAATTTTCGGTATATATTCTAATTCTTTGGAGGTTAAATCATTCGACACGATGAGAAATATTTTGATTACTGAGCGATTACGCTCTACGTAGCTCTATAAATAGGCTCGCTCGCGACATCTTTTCCAGTTTCTAGTGTAACGTGAAAATATGCGGTTCGTGCACCAGTCGCAGTCTATCAAAGTGACGCATCTCCACGGTAAAGTGCAAACCAATAAAGAGATGCGCAAGCATGGCAACATGCTACCGAGTTTTATTCGCGCAATCATTTGCGGCCCGTCGAATTGCGGTAAGACGAATGTACTGATAAGTTTGTTGGAGAGCTCGAACGGCGTACGCTTCGAAAACGTATACGTTTATTCGAAATCTCTGGAACAACCAAAGTATCGATATCTCGAAAATTTGTTAGCACCGATCGAAGAAATAAACTATTTTACATTCTCCAATAACAGCGAGATCGTTCCACCGAGGTCGCCACGCGAACGTTGACTGCTTCTATCTCTGTCAGACTTATGCAAAGATTCCGAAGCATCTTATACGTGACAATGCAAATCTGTTGATTCTGTTTAAGCAGGATGGAACCAACCTGAAACGCGTGTACAACGATCATGTCAATACCGATATGCTATACGAAGATTTCTGCGATTTGTGTCGTAAATGTTGGCAGCAAAAGTATGGATTTCTCGTAATTGATAAGGACAGTGCGCTTGCTAATGGACGATACAGAAAAGGATTTAATGACTTTGCGGTACCGTGAAGCGATCAGTTGTCATCGATACGCTAACTGTGCAACATGGACAGCAACAAAGAACATGAGAAGATAGCCATGGAGATTGCGAAAACGAGCGATTCAATTCGTAAAAAGTATCGCGCTTTGAAGACTGGTAAAATGGAGGAGGAGATCGCGTTGAAGAGACACTTTAAACCTATTACCGAACCGTTGAAACAGTTGTACCTCTCGGTGCAACAAGATGTTATTTTGGGATTCGATCCGCTCAAAGGGTTGGAACCCACGAGGAAAGACGAGGATAGTAAAAGGTCGTTGAACAAACACTCACTTCACCACACTTCTATCACAGTATATACAGTAGCGCAACTCTCCTGATTTTGTGAAGCCTAAAATGAAGTGCGCATGCGCGGCCGAGGCGCGTAACCAATTAGGGCATTGTATTCTATCTCACTTCTTCTTTCTATTGTCGGTGTCTGTCAGTCCCATTGAAATGTCCATATAAGGCATTTAAAGGACCATTTGACGGAAAGTGGCGGGAACGCGACGAATTTTATGTGAGAAACAGTGAGAATAGTGCTACGTGTGATAAAGTGATAAGTGATACGTGTTTAATTTTAATAATTATTCAGTGTATTCAGACGTGTTTAAGAAAGTGTAAAAAAACAGAGAACGTAGACCGAGTTAGCTTTATGGAGAATAGGTTATCTGTACAAAAATAGTACAGATTTCAAATTCTCTTGAAGCACTTTGATCTTAGCTTTCTGTTACAGATATTTGGAGAGATTTTAAAAGGCGAAAAAAATGTGTGCTCAAAAATCAAGCGGATGGTGTGTCGTAAAGGAGGACTGTAATAAAAATATTGTGGAAAAACGACACTTTTTTCGGTTTCCAAAGGAACATGACAGGTACAACTTTTTATTTCATTTATTTTCTAAAACACATACGAATTTATTGTATATTATGCTATATATTAACATATGTATATTTGGAATATTCAATATTTTTTAATTTCTGTATACAACACATATATATATACCATAACATATATATAACATATATATAACATATATATATGTATATGTGTAGATATATATATCTATTATTTTTTTATCTATATTTTATTTGTATTTACAATAACCAATATAATAATATTTATATAGATGGTTGCAATGGATACGTGCGTGTGAAAGATTAGATTTAGAAGCAAGTGGAGCAGAATATGCCCATCGCATTTATAGATTGTGCCACTTACATTTTGAAGAAAAGTGGTACAATATAAGCAAGAGTAGAGCTATTCTTCATCCGGATGCAGTACCAACAAAATTATGAGAGAGAGAGAGAGAGAGAGAGAGAGAGAGAGAGAGAGAGAGAATTCTTGCATTTCCTAATATCTGCGGTTACTATATTCAATATGAAAAAAATATAATAAATATAAGTAATTTTATTCGAGCCATATGATATTTCAAAATATGAAATACCACATTAATTATATATCCAAACAAAACAAGTCATCATTGTATCAAAATGATGTTAAAATTGTTCCAAAATGATCATTAAAAGTCATTTTTCAATCATTCTAATGTCATTTTGACTTTATTGTGACTTTCTGTTCTAATTGCGTATATATTATATTGTATACACAAGATATATGCTATACATACAATATTGCTGTACAATTAGTTAATAATAATATATTTTGTGGGTATATTTAATTGCAAAATATAGTGTTATAAAATAAATGTGCATTATATATGTTTAATTTTTATTTTATTTTCTCTTTCAAATGCGTCTCGTTTTTCACTGTGAGTATTAAATATCTATATAGTGTAAACGAGAACTATAGATTTCTGTATTCGCTGTGAATAATGAAATAAATTAAGATAATTTTATAAAAGTTACTTGTTAGTACGCGTATTCAAATGTGCAAATTAGGTTAGGACATTGCTAGAACATAAATTAGAAAGAGAGAAAAGGTTATAAACAGAGAGCAGAAGTGAGATAGAATACAGTGCCCTGATTGGTTACGCGCCTCGGCCGCGCATGCGCACTCCATTTTAGGCTTCACTAACATCAAAGGTGCCGACAGAGAGTTGCGCTACTGTATATACTGTGCTTCTATTTAGAATAACCCTTTTTATTTAACAATTTGATAGTTGATTACAAATGTTGTACCCCTTTATTTATATAATTATTTATTATTAAAGATTACAATGCTTTTTAGTAACTGTAACTTTCATTTAATTAATACAGTTGTTTAGTTAAATGAATATATTTTAAAGTTATCGCTCGTGACTTATGAGTAAACCGGTCGGCGACGGTATAACGGATGTTACTTGACTCGGTTCTCGCGACGCGCGTAACGTATCGTTACGTTTAGATGTATGACAAGACTCTCTCGCCGGTCCTTAGATCGCCGAATATATAGGCGTCGCGGAGTCATCGAACTAGCGGCATTCGTACCTTGTGTAACGCGAACTTCGTCCTCTTGCATTTCGGCAGTTCGTTGTCCTGTCGAAATGCAAGATTTGCTTTTTATTAATAATTGTTCGATGTGCATGCGGTCATTGCTTGCGTTCGATCAGTGATCGTTGTCCGCACGCGTTATGGAATTTGCAACCCTGCATTTCCGCAAGTCGTTGCTATGCCGAAATGCAAAGGTTGCTTTGCTATAATAATCTTGCATTTCCTAGCTTGTTGCTAGGCTGAAATGCGAGACTTAATTGTGGTAGCACTCGCGGGCTACAACAAAACAAATTGTCGAAAACACTGTTGAATCACCGAAGGATCCCATCAACGATGAAACATTCTTTTCGGAGAAAGACGAAGAACCGAAATCGAAGCGAAAACGACCGAACGTTTCGTACGATAGTCCTATACAGGCGTCCACGCCTGTGAAATCAGCGTTGAATAGATCGATAACTGTACCATCCACTTTGAATGAAATGTCTGAAATAACAGGATCGCGTGAGTTATCGTACGACCACGCTCCATCCGTCGAAGAAGTATCCGAGATTGTCAATTAACATCCATCCGACATCTGCTTCAAACGTCCGAGGGGCAAGAAAAACTGCATGCAAACTATGGCCCTTTGGGACAGAAATATCTGAAAGCGGTCTTGAGCGGTAAGGAAGCCGTCAACATAGATGTCGTGTATGGAGTCTACTTTAGCGACGAGGGAACGATGCTCGGTGACAAACGTATCACCTTAAGCAAAAACGATGACATAATTATAGATGGACAAAGATACGATGGAACACCGGGACTGTACGAATTGATTTTTATGAGATTTTCCAACGAAAGTATATGCACTGATGACGACGTACAGACTTACAAGAGCATTCTGTTGACAACAAACGCTTATCGACGTGGTCATAACGCTGGTAATCAAGTATTGGGTAACAAGGGACACAAGTACAAGAACATCATCGCACCATTGGTGTTGGGTAAAAAGGTTGGGACCGTTATAAAGAAAAAACTCGATTTGCCGTGCGCCATGTCATTAACCGACAACAGGATTGATTACGTACACTGGGACGATCCCAACGACCTTGTAGACCGTCTTCGATTGCTTGAAGCGTCGCGTCAAGCAGATCACAACGGCCACGACAACGAGATTCTATCGATTATCGTAGAACTTCGTGAAGCCGGACTGATTATAAATTGATCGCGATCTATACACGTCGATCAGTCGACATCGAAATGTCGATCAACAAGTTTGGACAGTCGCTCGGAGGAGGAAGCGAATCGCACTATCAGTGGCGTGGATTGTTCAGAAATTACGTGCGCGATAACGCTCTTTGTTAAGTTGCAGCCGACTTTGACGCATAGTCGCGTAAGATTCGACGTTTAGCGCTACCAGTGGAGGATACTAACGCAGCAAACAAACGATACGTGCAGCAGAGTGTTCAAGATTTGAAAGGTCGTCTTGATGAAATTGAAAGACGGATAACACCATTTCAGAATAACGTGCAAATTATTTTAAATGAATTTGAAAAAAAGATTCGAAAATCGAAGAATGTCTGAGAAACGATCGCTGGTTGAATAATTACACGCTTCGGCGAGAAGAAATTTTCCGCGAAGACGCGTCATAGTACACGGATACGATGACCTGTGGCAGGCGGATGTAGTCGAGATGCGTCCGTATACGCGCTTCAACAGATGTTACCACTACATTCTCACTGTCATCGACGTGCTGAGTAAGCATGCATGGGCCATGCCGCTCAAAGCCAAGAGCGGGAACGAGGTGACGCGGGCAATTGCAAAGATAATTTGAGACGACCGAAGATGTCCGAAAAATTTGCAGACTGAGGGTGTTTACGACAAATGATCGGATTTCCAATCCGATCGAACAGTGGTACTCATTTGGTGCATTTCAAAAAACTCCCTAGCTTAATCGGATTTTGGTGCCTGTCTCAGGAGGTAATCGGATTGAGTTGAACGGATCGTGAGAGAGGAACAATTTTGCGAATTTGCGTATGAACTTAATAAAAGCAGAGTGCATAAAGACAAAGAGATACATACGTTAACTATTATTGTAATAATTATTGTGTATTTTATTCTAAAATGTATATCAATAATGGAAATATGTATAGTACAGTTAAGAATTCTCGAAAAGTAAATATATAACCTCACTTTATTAATTTTTTATAAAATATGTATAATAAAATATTTTTTTGCAGATGAATAAGATTTGCCAATTTTTAAATATTCCATACAACAAATATATCCATCCTTATATGTATCCTGT